TTGGCTGCATGTTTGTTTTACTCTCAGTTTGCTCTCCAACATACCCGCCACTTATAACACCCACATCTCCTCCTCCACAGGATGCTCACCGTCTATCCGCAAACCAAGACCTACTTCTCCCACTGGCCAGACATGAGCCCGGGCTCTGCCCCCGTGAAGGCCCACGGAAAGAAGGTGATGGGTGGAATCAATCTGGCTGTGTCCAAGATTGACGACCTGACAAACGGCCTGCTGGAGCTCAGCGAGCAGCACGCCTTCCAGCTGAGGGTGGACCCGACCAACTTCAAGGTGAGATTACCTTACCTTCACCGTATGCCAGGATCTGCTGACATGGTTTTATGGGTACTTTCACGCACAAGTATAGTCTGATTTACGCGTAAATTACGCATTGGCGCTGCAACGAGTGCAGCCGTAGTATCTTAATTTCTTTTAAACGACTTAAAAAAAAAAATCTGTATTTCTGAAGCCGATCCACCAGTTTGGAGATTTTACTTGGAGCATGTTTTGCACCACACATGCATTCCACATTTTAAGCCACATGGGGGTAACGTTGAATCGACCCACTCTTATCTTGTTCCATTGAAGTTTTTACAGTGTAAACCATATATTCGCTATCTAATTGTCTCCTTTGCCATCCACAGATCCTGTCCCACTGCGTCCTCGTGGTGGTCTCCTCCATGTTCCCTAATGACTTCACCCCTGAGGCTCACGTCGCCTTCGATAAATTCCTGACCGCCGTGGCCCTGGCTCTGTCCGAGAAATACCGCTGAGCTGCCCACAGAGTGGCACGCGGTCTGCCACATGCGACCATCTCACTCATTGCAAAAGATGAAAGAATAAACTGCATGCCACCCAAAACTGCTACTGCCACTGTGTGTTTTATGTCTCCTCATAACAGTAAGAGTATAATGTCTACATGCGTTTTCTAATGGGCAGAGGAAGCAACGAAGAGACCATCATAATGTTTTCATCTTTAGTATTCATACTGAAAAATCCACACAGTGATAGACATGAAAAAAATTAAATAAAAGTACAGCATCCAACATCATGAATCTAAAGTATATGAGACAGACATTACAGGTTTATTGTCGTTTATATGGCAATAAACACCCACCAGGGGCTGTTATGATTTCATAACAATTCGTAACTTATCATCGCCGAGAATAAGCCTGCAACAGAAGAGAGACATTGTGAGCGTTATCTCTCATATCAGTCGATTCACTCATTCGTCCAACCACGTGATCTGATCTGGCTTCTCTTACCTGAGCAAAGCTGCGGCCACCAGACCTCCTCCAATGGGCCCCACCCAGTAAACCCAGTGGTAGCTCCAATAGTTGGCCATCACAGCTGGACCGAAAGCCCTGGCTGGGTTGAGACACGTTCCTGATACATCACCCCTGCGAGTGAAAAAGTTTAATTATTAATTAGAATATTTGATACAACTGCAATATGGTTATTTAAAATTCATTTTCATATTAGTTAGGACAGTCAAACCGAGTCTCCTGGTTACATCATTTGAAGAAGATTCTTGTGGTAGAATAAAAAATATTAAATTTAAAAGTAAGATTAAACATTTTTAATTTTCTAATTCTAATTAATTTGACATCTTTTTATTCCGTTTCGTGTCCCTCAAGTATTGGTTAATTGATTTTTAAGTCATTAACTTAAAAGCATTTTATTTCGAAACAATCGAATAAAGTAAGACATTTGCAAAAAAAAAAAAAAAATGCAAAATTAATTTAATGAAAGTAATAGTGCATTTCAAATAAAAAAACATAAATTAAAAAACACATCTTTAGAGAGATATCTCTACCACCACGCCTTTAATGTCCTTTGTGTTGTTGGCTGCTGTTTTTAAATTTTTTTTTTTTTAACTATTTCACTTTGGGAAACATTATTTTATAACTTTTTTTTTTTTTTTTTACTTTGAATTAAATGTTGGTTGTGAAGCAAGATATGCGAATCCTCAATTCGTGAATATAGCAACTGACTGCAACGTTCAGGTCCAGTTGGGTGTAAATGTTTAACACAGTGCGGACACAATAAACACTGTGGTCATCGCCCCCTTTATCTCACCCTGCCAGGATGTTAATGATGACGGTACAGCCAACTAGGAATGGAGCCAGCGGGTTTTTTGTCTTGCCGTTGACCGCCACCAGCAGCACCACCATGGTGACCAAGCAGGTCATGGCCACCTCCCCAAAGATGGCTCCAGACAGCTGACTGTCTGACTTGAGGATATCAAACGCTGCTCCCGTGGCGTTGTTGTAACGACCTGCAGGGGTCATTATCTAAAAATTGTATTATTAAAGATTTTATGGTCACTTTTGAATTATGATTATATATTATAAATTATAAAATATTTCAAAATTTGTGTGAAAAAATCAGAATACTGTGCAGTGAACTTTCACCTGACCATGGCCATTCCAGCTCCCAGAACTCCTCCAATCAGCTGGCTGGCAAGGTAGGGTCCTACCATGGCCAGCTCCATGCCCCCACACAGGTAGATGGCAATAGTGAAGGCAGGGTTGAAATGGGAGCCACTAGAGGAAGAGACAGCAGAGAAAAGTTGAGATCAGGTGGGACACTGAGACCCATTCCCCTCAAAATATCAAAATATACCAAATGGCTGAGGTTGATCATTATTCAAAGATGTTGCACACAAAAACATAAAGCAAGCAAGCAAAAATTAAAATACACAGCATCTGACTTTATGTCATTCTATTCTTTACGCAAAATACCTGATGTTATCCATAACCGCCACCATCACTGCCACAGCCAGCCCGTGCACCAAGGCTGGCTGCAGCCGTCCAGCCGCTGGCACATTCTCAATGACAGACACACAGCCGATGAAAACGAAGAACATGGTCCCCACTATCTCGGCCAGGCAGGGCTGGAACAGCTTCTCATATTTGTTGGGAGGTTTGGACACAGGCGGCTTCTTGCCCTTCTCCATCAGAGCAGAGTCTGTGTCTTCCATTTCCATTTTCTCAAGTCCCATTGTTGCCTGTAAGAGACTTTTGTTCCAGGATGATTCTCAAAGACATTCTGCACCTCTTTCGGACTGTGGCACTGCAAGGTTTTCTGGGTATTTATAATCATCAACAGCAGACTGCACACTGTTGCTGAATTGCATCACAGGTCATAAAAACATCAAAGGTGAAGCATGTTCTGAAGGTGAAAATCCATAACATCAAAACAACCCACGCCTCAAACAGGTTCTTTGACGCCTTTCCAGCTCTGTCTGATGGAGTCAAGCCAGGTAATCCTGTCCTTTAAGGAGTCCTCAAGTTACCTTTCATAAAAGAATGATAAGATTCAAAACAAGGCACGAGCTGTTCAAGGTTGATGTCAGTCAGAGGGATCAGTTAGGGATCAATCATGTGCAATTTAATCATCATAATTTCTGTACTCGTATGCACATGCTTGCTATAGGTGACCTACATAGATAAGATAGACCTGGAATACAGACTTTACACCATGCATCAAGGTTAAGTCCTCAGTGGTCAGGACGCCCCATGCGACACACTGTTAGAGTTTAAACCCGTGTTTCCGAACCTTTTTGGCTTGTGACCCCTCACAGTATCTCATTGTGTTACATTTCAGATGTTAATGATTTGTGAGCAGTTCCAGTATAGAGACATTTCCCATCTAAACCTTTTAAGGTCCAGATAGGTCAAATGATTGTTGAGATTTATGACCCCTAGGTTGGGAACTACTACACTCAACTACCTAAGTGATTAGAAGTTACCACAGTACTTTTGTATTACTGCATCAGTATTAAAAATAATACGGTCATATATTCTGCAGAATCAGTACATTTTAATGATCAAGAACAAATGCAGGACTTTTACAAGTAATGGAGTATTTTTACATGGTTGTATTGGTATTTTTACTTAACTAAAGTAAATGTAAAACTATAAGAAAAAACAATTCAGATGCTGACCTTCAGAGCAGGAGGGGTTACCGAATACTTTAATTTGTATAAAATGACATGAATTATACGCTATGGCCTTGACAGTCAGCAGATATCAACCTAATTGTACACTAAAGGGAGAATTGGACTGAACTGTTACACAACGCTCTTCATCAAGACACCAAGCCGACAGTGAGTACAATTTTGATGTACTTATTTTTTCTTTTCTGTTTAATGCTACTTTATTCCTTCTTATCAAGGCATCATAGTATATAATTGGGTCATTATAGTCTCAGCATATCTATATTTTCAATGCAAATAACCTGGACAACTTTCCAAAATAAAGTTAGAAATATTTTACTGCACTGATTTTGTTTTTTCCTTTTGTTTAAAGGAAAAAACTGTGGGACCCAATTGAAGACAGAAATGTTTTAAACTACCAACAGCTCCACCTCAAACAGCAAAAGGCTACTTTAAATAGTGCACACAGAACTATGATATAATATGTATGTGTCATACAGCACCATCCAACGAGTAATGCATAATCAATACTTTTACTTTTGAACATTCTAGCTGATAACACATCTGTGCTTTCACTTGAGTATACCTTTATGTAAATGATCTGAATACTTCCACCAGTGACACCAAATAAAGGAATATCTTACACATATTATGACATGCTTTAGGTATAGAAAGTATTGTGACCTGATCACATAGGATTTCATTCCATATTCAAACTTTAATTCCATATATTCAAATTTCACATAACAGTCTTACAGTCTCTTGAACAGATAGGTTGGCAAGGTAGATGATCCATCTTCACCCATTATTTTAAGATGAATATATGAGATACATCTGGATTTAGAAAGCTTTTTATTGTAACTTATTGCTGTTTCAGTTAATCTAGGAGCACCAGTTTATGATTCTCATCTAGCTTTATTGTCTTATGTAGTGACCTGTCCTTGTACCGTCTTTTCAGTAATAAAGCTATTAAAGAACGGTTTTCTATTTAGGACTTTGACCCAAACAATGAGTACAAAAAGATTGTAAACAGATAACAGAAAGTGCGATCATTCATATCAAATCGTATGTAAGGACTTTATTATCAAATGTCCGCAGACCTTTTCCAGCATTATCATCAAACATGAAAGTCCAGTTTAGGATTAGCTATCAGATCCCTATCATATCATCAAACACTTTATTGAATACAGAAATACAAACATGGCATTGAGTAGGAGTATAGCTAGTTTAAGGACTAATATTATATATAGGACACACATTTAGCTGACATATTTAAATTTTACAGTCTAATTGTTAAGTCAGTCGGGATGTCTTCTCTCTCTTCTTTAATAAATTAGACATTCACTTAAACACAATTCGAGTCTTCTTGTCACCAAACACAAACCTGCAAAAGAGTGATTCTTAAATTAGGGAACTGGTCATTATTGGTCACTTCAAACAGCACTGTGTATGACATCATGTAAAGAACATAGTTGGATTACTGAACGGGCCTATTGGGCACAGGCCCAGAGGCAGAAAACAACTACAAAGAGGCATAAAAGAACTACAAAAAGACACAAAACAAGTACAAAAAGACATAAAATGACAATTGTTTTGTGTCTCTATAAGTCTATAGATCCAATGTAGGAAGGGTGGGGGGCATTTTAAATGGATATGCCTATTATCCCATTGTCTCATAATCCATTCATGGTTAATAATCAGATTTAATAGTACTAATAGTAGTAATAGGTTGACTAACAGGTCGTATTTAACAGGAGGTCAGACTGTGATAAAGCTAGAGCTCATTGGGTGGAGCCATAGGAGCAGTTTTGTCTCTCTGTCAGGTTAGACTGAAGTCCAGTGGAAAAGGGGGACGGAATTTGCTACAATTACTACTAAATTACTTTTTTTTTTTTTAAATCTATGTAGCCATGGAGCTTTCAGGTTTAAACCAGTCCCTTATCTATACACCTGTCTACTGTGACTCAATCGTCTAGCCATCACAATGTGGCCCTTGTCAAAGTCACTCAAATCCTCACGCTGCCCATTTTTCCTGCTTCTAACACATCAACTTTGAGGACAAAATCTTCAGTTGCTGCCTAATATAGCCCACCCACTGACAGGTGCAATGATAACCAGATAATCAGTGTGGTCATAATGTTATGGCTGATCAATGTATATTATTAACTTAAACTGCAATCTGAAACCCCCCAGGGTGGGAAAGTACCACAAACATACTGTTTTAATTATGAAAGGTTCCCCCGTGGAGTTTTACATTCAGTGTAAACTCTATGTGTGTATCATTGAGGTCTCACAAACATATTGAATGTTACTTAACTATAACCAACTTAAGGTTTTATTACATAACCAACAAATCTAGAAAGCCTGTTGAGAGTGGAAATGTTTAAAAAAGCAAAAAAAACTACCTCTGTATTCTGAACTATACGTACCTTATGAGGCTGACAGAGGTCAGTGCACCACAAGTGGGTCCAACCCAGTAGATCCAGTGATGGTTCCAGTGGTTGGCAACCACTGCAGGACCAAAGGCTCGGGCGGGGTTCATACAGGCTCCAGACAACATCCCTCTGAAACAACAGCCAGCACATACCAATACTGTAAGACAGCAGCTGACCAGAGAGGTGCAGCTCAACAGCATGCATGTAACCATTACCACAACCATTAGATATGATACTGTGCTAGGCAGCCTGCAGTATACTTCATTACATGCATATAATACAAATATTGTAATATACGTGGAATAAAAACATTGAACTACCTTTAAGTGATAACCAAAACAAATTATGGATCTTGGTGTCTATTTGATAACTGATAATAAATACAGTTCATAACTGGTAATAAATAGAGCTGATAACTGATAATAAATATATGTGTGAGGGAGGGTCGTGGCCTTTCATGGTAGTCTGGAGGTTTAGCAGTCTTTACATTTTATATAGAATTTCTTAATACTGATTGCAGTATTTTTAGACTTAGTGTATTTAAGTTGGACTTATATTACAAACAAATATTAAAGTTTAGTTCAGTATTTCTCCACCAGCATTACATTCTGACAGATTTAGGCCTTCTTGTTTGGGAATAACACATCGGCAGTCTATTTTTACGGGTCAATAATTTTCTTAGAATTTCCTCTGAGTATATAGTTATGTACTAATTAGGGGAAATGGAGAGTGCTATGAGACAGTTATTTTAGTTTATGAGCAGTGATTTCCAGAGGAGATAAGAACTGCTTCATTTAAAGAAAATGTACAGAAAATACAAATGAACAGCTAACGGTGATGTTGGGGACGACTTCCTTGCGGACGCTCTTACCCAGCAAGTATGTTGGCTGTCACGGTGAGGCCAATGCAGAACGGAGCCAACGGTGAGCGGGTTTGACTGTTGATGGCCCCCATGCACACCACTATGGTAAGGAACGTGGTCATTATCACCTCTGCCAGTGTGACTGTAGCCAGATCATCAGAGACTACGTGAAAGGCACCGCCAAAGGAAGCATTATACACATTGAAGGGGTACACTGCCTGCAAGTAGAACAAAATGAACATATATCATCCAGTGCATGATAAACTTGACTGGAGTGGATAGTTTTTATTTATTGACATTATTTTTTTTCCACCCAACAAAGTATGCCAATAAATCAAGACCAAAATGATACCAGAATAATGACAAAATAAATAAAAAATGCACGTTACTATGTCAAAGTTATGAGATAATAAGTCACAAATATGAGAGAGGTCAAAATTGTAACATTTTAATGATCATATGATTAAACATCATATGACGTCAACATTTTGAAATATTAAGTATGCGTATAATTTGACTATAACACTATTAGTCAAAATGTGGATTAGGTCAAAATGTACTAAATCAAATTTTGGAGATAATACGTCAAAATTTAGACTTACAAAATCGTCTTTTTTAGTCAGTAAGTTATAATTATAATTATGAGATAGGTCAAAAATATTGATTCTAACATTATAACTTATTATCTAATAATTTTGAGTTAGTAAGTCAGAATATTTACTGTTTAAGTTAAACATTTTTAACTGTATGTTAAATATCATAAGTATTTTTATTTTTATTATGACTAACTTTTCATCTTTTTTTTCCTGGCAGAATTGATCTTCCATATTTTGTCTTACCCTGGTCAAACCAGCTCCACCCAGCCCTCCCAGCATCTGAGCCAGAATATAAGGCACCAGCAGAAGAAGATCCATTCCTCCACACAGGTAGGCGCTCAGGGACACCGCAGGGTTAAAGTGGCCCCCACTGCAATAAACATAATGAACTTTACTCTGTGTCTCTCAAATGATGCCATAAACTGATCATAACAACACCTCGCCATCTGACATTGGATAAACAGATGATAAGGATTTTTTATATTTGTACTAACTTTGTTGCATCAAATTATTCAAACAAATTGAAACTTTATTTGTGTAGCCTATGCCTCTGTATCTGCAAATGAGTTGTTGAATTACATTAAACTTACTCAGATGTTAAGGTAAATTCTCTTTAAATAATATTTATATATTAAATAAATCTGTTCATGTTGTCTTTGGCTCTACATGTGATGTTTGCAGGAAAGCAACCAAAATGTCATGGCAACATTTCGAATATTGTAAAAACAAGAAATCATCAGCTCAAAAACATACAATATTAAGCATTTGAAAACACACAACAAATTGAATGTCATCATTACCTAATTTGTCCAAACATCATGATCGCCACTCCCAATGCCAGTCCATGTGCCACAGCAGGCTGGAGGACACCAGCTGTTCCCACATTCCCAATAACAGACGCACACCCCACAAACACAAACAGGCATGTCCCAAACAGCTCCGCCAGGCAGGGCTGCACATACTGCTCAAAGATGCTTCTCTTCATGTTTGTGCTGCTCATGTCTTTCTCTCCCATCAGCTCTCCCATATCAGTTACGGTGAAGATCTCTGTCTTGGTTTCTGCCCCTGACATGCTGAATCGGAAGAAAACCCCTTTCTACCCTGGGTCAGGTTCACGTGTTCCTCTGATGGACCACTGGTCTGGTCTGATGTGTGTAGAGGCATGTATATAAGCCATTCTTAGGGTGATGAACAAAGGACATACGCACATCCCCATTTTCTTCCCCTCTGATGCCCCACCTTCCTGCAATTGTTTATACTCCCATGACTATTGACACTCAATCATGTGAAGCTCATAAAATAACTAGCACTGTGTTATTGACTGTCAGAGAGCATGCAGATACAGATAAGGGTGAGGGGCGTATTATTACTCAACAGCAACAATCACTTCTTTAAGTACCAGTAAAATCATTTAAATATATCTGAGTGTGTAGCTTATTTAATGATAACCTGCAATATCCAATTCCTTGGGCATTAACATTTAAAATGTTAAGATTAAATTCAATCAAAATAGAAAGGTCGTATCTAAATTGTCCCTAGATACAGTAGATATCAAACATTAAACTGACCTTTAAGGTGTCCATTTGATTACTGATGATAAATACAGCTGATAACTGATAATAAATACATGTGTGACAGAGGGTTGTTGTTAGGATCTCTGTATCTAAATACAAAATACTACATCACAAGTAAAAGTCCTAGTATTAAAGTGCCTAAGGTAAAAGTATTTATAATGCATAATGGCCCATTTCATAATCATATATATTACATAACTGTATTTAATTAGAGTTACATTTATGTGTTCACACTCAACTGTTGGCGCTTATAAAGATGGGACTAATTGAAATTTCTTTACTTACTGCTGGGTAGCTCAATCTATGATAATATAGGCAATCATAATCTATTAGTTGATTTATATTTTGTATTATTAATCTACAAAGTAACTAGTGACTAAAACTATTAGAGAAATTTAGTTGAAAGTAAAATATTTGTATTTGGTTTTTAAATACAGAACATAAACCCCCCTCAGACTATTAAAACCCCAGATTACCACACAGAAGATATGATCAGTGTCAGCTACAGGCCTGTCTGCCACCCTCCTCCACACGTGTTTATTATCAGTTTTTAGATGGATAGTAAAGGTCAGTTTAATGTTATCTATGCAGGGACTATTGAGATCAGTCAGTTAAATGTAGTAGAGGAAAAGGTGTGCTATTTCTGGAATGCATGGTAGTTCACCTCGCTCTCTCTCCCACCGTCCTTGTTTATCTTCACCTCTCCTATCAAATAAAGGTATAAAAAGCCCAGAAAACATCTTTAAAAACTGTCCCTCTGAAATGTAGTGAAGTGGAATATAAATTCACCACTGCTTATCAGCAAACATTTACCCATCCAGCAAGTATGGAGCAACATTTGCATTAAGTCGGGAGACATTTCTGGCCCCCTGGCAAATATAAGTACTTAGTCACTCTCCTTTTAGTTGTGTTTGGTCTCCTCTTTTTTCCTGATGGAAATATCCGACTCTTTATCATTTAAATGTTCCACCACATCACCAGCTAGTCGTTAACTTTGGCGGTTTGCCATTTGGCGGTGGGAAGGAGGCAGCAGTTGCTATGTATTACGGCAGATGCTGATGGGAGCGGGGAGAGTCAACCAAAACATTAAAGTTGGAGCTGGGAAACTAAAACAAATCTGAAAAATGCTACAAAGACCAGTAGAAGTTAGGAAAAATGCAGTCAGATGATTAATCACTGTATTCACTCACATCATTATAAGAGAACAAGTACTCATGTGACCAGTTGTTACTGTAATAGAGAAAAATAATTTGATTACAGCTGCTTTATATTATGAGAGAAGCACTAATAAGCATAGATGCCTACATACAGTTGGTGATATGTTAACAGTGGGAGGGTTAGGGGTAGGTGAGGCCCAGTGACCCAGGGTGCATTTTCAGCTGCACATACACTACTGAATGATCATAGAAATATTACAGGAACACTACAGGCAGCAGTGTCTCTATGATCCTCTTGCTCTTTGTGAAGGTGACACTACTTTTGAGTATATAGTTTAAGTATATAATATGTAGTTTAAGGAATAGGGAATAAATGAACAGACACACAGTCGTACACAACAGGATTGTTTTATTCAACTGCACTTGACCAGCATTCATCAAATATAATCTATCACAAACTAATCTGTCATGTCCTATTTCCTGTTTCAAAGCTAAACTTCAGAATAGAAAACATTTTTACAGGCAAATGTAAATGAACCAGTAGTTGTACCATTTATTGCAGTCTGACACTAGTTCTACCACATGCATGTATGTTTTGTAAGAAAATGAGTCTGAGAAGCACAATTGATTAATAAATAAAATCAAAATGGCACAGAAAAACCAGACAGAGACAAATATATGACATCTGAAAATGTCAAACCTCATACATTCTTTAATCTGCAACACAGGTGACCGGATTTTTAAGTAGCGGTGTGGTCGCAGACAAAATATGTCCGTAAACAGATTAATAAGTCAAACTTGATCCACTTTACAGTTGAAAACCTCTTCACAGCTCTCGACCATATCATCTGTTATCTTCAACATGTGCGGGGTTACAAAGGACACTCATGAAATCACATTCTGCTGATGCAGGGAGTTTTCATGCCGGAACAGCTCCCAGTCGAGGTCTTGATGGAGAATGAGAGCTTCCTCTTTCCCAATGTCTCCCTTTACACATCTTCTCCTGTTGTTGATTTTGGCGTACACACATGTGAAGCATGTCCCGACAGTGGAGCAGTTTCACACTCAAAATGCCAACTGTGACAGACCTGAGGAAACAGAACATGACCTGTTCTTGTAAATGACCACACCAGACATTAAAACTTGGAGGATGGGTGGAAATGTGAAAAATGTAACACGAGTAACACTAAGTAAATAAGCTAATGGACAGCGTGGCGCCATAGGGATAAAATGATCCTGGAACTGAGCAGTAATAGTTTCCCAATTCCTACTACAGCTAACATACCCATTACTTTAAATGTAACATAACTGTGAATTACCCAGATTGAGTTTGTCCTTGGTGGCCCAGCAGATGCTGTAGTGCTGAAGAAGTTGTTGTAAAAGCTCCCTCTCATCCAGGAACTCCAGACGCTCAATTCTGAAAGAAATTATTAATAACAAATATCCTTATTCTGCATTTAATCATAGAACGTGATCTTTCGTATCAGACTATACACAGAACGAAGGAAATCCAAAAATATAGCAGTTTTTGTACAGATGGGTTTAATGGTAGTACTTTGGCAGATACCTTGCCACATCCTCCTGGGGCAGCATACTGTAGACGGTCATCATGTCCAGAGCATCAGCATGCTCCCAGCCTGTCTTCAGAAACCGCTCCTTCTGCAAACCACACACATTAAAATACTTGTTCTCAAAAAGACAAAGAACCAAAAGATACAACAAACAGATCCTCATGTGCAAAGTGCAAAGGATCTCACAAACAAGAGAACCTCATCATTCCTACATTTTGGACCTGACAGGTTACTGATCTCACAAAGTCACTCAACTCACAATAACCCTGTTGTCTTGGTTTTGAAATATTGGGTCGAGTGTTGGAGGTTACCTGAGAGTCCAGAGACTGGCAGACCTCCACTCCGGCCAGGGTGCACTGGCGACGCTGCAGGTTCTCGATCATCACTTGGCCAAATCGATCGCTCATGTTCAGCTGGACACACAGAGCAAGTATACATAATTAAATCTCAGGTTGAAACACACATGTATTACTTATGTCGATTCAAATACCTAGTCTGGTACAAGTTGCTGATTACCAAAGGGCTATCATATCAAGTGTGTTGAACCACTTTATCCACTAAGTGCATATACGATGAGGAATACTTCGGTTTTAAAAAACCTAAGACACTACAAAAGATAATACAATCATTTCTAATAATTGTGTAGTAACATCTACAATCCACCACAGCCACACAAAAGTATTTTTACATACAAATCAAATCCAGACACTTGGTTAAGTTGAGACCTGAACAACAACAGAACTGGGATGAAGTCATCTGTTTTGTTTACCTGTTCATAGTTGATGAACATGGCAGTGTGGAAGGTTTCTGCTGCCCAGTGAACTAGATTGGAGGACTGGGAGGGCGTCATGTAGACCAGCACACACTCTGACAGGAGCAACGTGGGTAATCTGAGAGTGAGAGCAGTACACTTAACCACAACAACATAACCAGAGGTACACACACACAGACAAAAGTACACAGATTCCTTTCTCAAGTAGAGGTACTTATTTTGTTTATTTTTAATTTTTTTTAAATAAAAATGTCATCTGGATCCAGATATGCATTAAAGTAAACACTGTGTACAAGGGATGCATTGACTGGTATTGGCCCAATGTTTAAAATAATTAATTCAAATAATTTGGTCCTTAGCTGATGCCGATGTTCTTTTGTGCCAGGACAACACAGAAATGTCTCAGATTCCATGCACATTTTTCTTTTTATACCCATGTTGTGAAAATTCTTTGGAAGGATCCTGAGAATCAAAGAATTGAATTGCAAAGCTTTATTATAATTGTTCTGCATATGACAAATAAAGAACTTGAAACTAATCATTGGGAGAGGCACAATGTTAAACTTCAATGATTTCAGCATGACAACTAATCACATAATCTTCCTTCTAAAGCAATAAAAACTCTGGAGAGTTTAGCCTTTATACTTTGTGCTCTGTGATCTTAAAATGACTTACTATAGAACTAAACTATAAAATCTTTTAAATTCAGAGGAATATTACCTTTGTTACTTCAACCCTTCAGTGTGGGTAGAAAAAAAAGTAATGCCCCCTGGCTCTTTAACAATAAAGAGTAATAAAAATGCTAAAGTCACACCTGGCAGCATCCTGTAAAAGAGAGGCTCGCTCTTTGTCAAACTTCCCTGGATAAATAAAGGTAACAATATGTGAGTTACGACCTGAGGTGAAGGAGTCTGAGATCTCCTTGCCATAGAAAACATCCTATCGTACAAAAAGGATGTCTGTGCCACCCAACATCCGACTATAAAACAGTGATGTGTTTTGGGTCCAAAATTACTGATAAAATACAGATACCCCACCCAAGTATGACACACTCAGCGCCTGAAAAACTAAAAATGTAAATGT